GCATTTATATATAAAAATAAAAGGTCAACTAGACTGGAAATGGGGTAAGAGGAGATAAGGATAATAATAAGAGTAATAATAATAATCTGAACACAATTTAAAACCTAATTACTCTGGATAATAAGTCAATATTACCAGGGTAGTTTTAAGGTAAGAACAAACTGTTTTTGAATACACAAAGGGGGTTTGAATTTTCGTATGGCTAAGGCTTCAATAAACCTTAGTATACGCCATTTTACACTTTTATACAATACCAATAACCCTTACCTTATTAAACTTTAGTTTAATAAAGACAGCTGGGGTAGCAGCAGCCTCCGATTCAGTAGCCCTCAACATTTCCGAGGAAAAGACCGAGATCCAAAAATACAACACAGAGAACACCAACCCAATCTTACTTCGATCCTAAAGAAGCTCTGGAAGAGGTAGAAACTTTCAAGTACCTGGACAGCACCAACGATGAACAAGAAAGATTTAATGCAGACATAAAGGCGAGGATTGGCAAAGCAAGGGTCGCATTCTTACAGTTGGAGAACCAAATGTCAACCAATATAAAAGTCAGAATCTTCAGTACGAACGTCAAAACAGTTTTACTGTACGGAGTTGAAACGTGGAAAACTACTACACCCATCATTAAGAAGGTAAAAGTACTTATAAACAATTGTCTATGCAAGATACTCAATATCCGTTGTTGACGGAATGCAATTTGAAACAACCTACTATGGGAGAGAACTAACCAGATCCCAGCTAAGAATAAAATTAGGAAAAGATGTTGGAAGTGGATAGGACACATATTACGGGAATCATCGAACTGCATCACGAGGCAAGCACTGACTTGAAATCCTGAAGGGACACGGAAAAGAGGAAGAACGAAGAACACACTACGTCGGAAATCGGAAGCAGATATCAAAAGAATAAAAGGTAACTGGAAAGGATTGTCCAGAACGGAGTCGGATGGAGAATGCTAGTGGGTGGCCTGTGATCGTTCACGAAGGGTAACAGGCGTACATAAATATGTTAGTGGTTCTACACTAGGACTGAATACATTATAGAATGTATATCAGTCTATGGACATTCTATTTCTTTTAAAAGTGTATAATCTATTTCTGAATATTAAATACTGTAGATTTGATATTTAATTTCAATGTTTTCATAAAAATTCATGATAAATATAATCACACATTTGTCAATAAAAGAATAACTTTCAGGATATTCTTTCTATAATGTAATGGAATATGAATGAATTAAATAGTACTTGCTCTGAAAGGTATTAATCTGAATGTTGAAAAAAAGTAAGACTGAGATAATATTGAAAACTCTAATAAAATGAGGATATGCTTCAACAAAATGATTAATGCTTCAAACATTCAATACAGAACTTTCCAAAATCTTGGCTGAATACTGTTTAACTATAAACAATTAATCATTTTTTAACTAAGGCGAATCCTGCTATATTTCAGCGGACATATAAAGAGCAAGGATAGAGAATTAGGCTGTATATGGAACATTATGTTATCTTGGATTAAGTTTTACCATAAAAACAACTTAATTACTTCGAATAATGTTAAGAAGTTTTATTTAATTGAAACGTATCAATGAAATTAAATTTTCACCAAACTTGAAATGAACTTAATCGGGTTGCTCTGCGAAATTACACCTGATCTATAATATATTTTCACAAATATTTGATAGAAAATATTCAAATCGGTGACTGAATATACTCAAACTAATACTAGACAAATTTAATAATACAAACCTCATTAATTTGAATATTTCTACTGATACTACTGATATTATTATGAGTATAACAAGTCGATAAGCATCAACAGATTAATTGTGGTGATGATAAGCTCTTACAGTTCGAATAATACAGAAACTTAACACAGCTCATCAAAGAAGATAATAGCAGTGTGATTGATGATACTGCAATGTAAAATTGCTAACGAAGTTTAAATTTTCGTTAACAAACAGATAGATTTGAAGTACGTCCGTTCGTTAAACATTTTAGATTTGAAAAAGGTTGATATTATCGTGTTGTTGATATTCAGGATAGATTCATCGTTAACGGATAGTGTGGTGATAAGTTCCATATATGAGCTATAAATCAGTCCCTAGGCGATTTTAACTACATATACAAGGTAATTAACTTAAATAATTTATACAACGTATTATGTATAGACCGCTTACACTACAACTTACTTACGCATGTTACCCCTCGTGAAGGAGCATAGGCCACCCACCAGCATTCTTCATTCAACTCCGTCATGAATAATCCAGTTGCTTTTCGTTTTTTTGATGTCTGCCTCCGATTCCCGAAGCAACGTGGTACTTGACCTTCCTCATTTCTTTTTACCTTCAAAGTTCCAAGCTAGCACTTACCTTGTGATGCAGTTTAATGGTTTCCGAAATGTATGACCCATCTACCTTCAATGCCCTTTCCCAAGTTTCTCTTCATGTGGAGGCTGATGGTATGCGGTCAACGGACATTGATTATCTTGCATCTCAATAATTGGTTATCCCTTTCCCTCCTTGAATATGTATTGTGTCTTTGTACATTTGCTAGCTACTTTCTTCGTTAATTCACATAGTTGTTTCATATTTCCTTCTCTTGCAGCGTTTTCCGCCGTCGTTGCTAGCTTTTCACGTATTTTTCCTTTCCAGCTCTAACGCTCTTCTAGACTTGCTTGTTTGTTTCTGTATTCAGCTTGTATTTTGAATTTCTGTTCTTTTTCGGCTGGCTGTTGTTAATTGCTGTCTTCTTGTTCTTCCTTTCCTGAATCTTGTCCAGGGTTTCGATAGAGATCCATTCCTTATGATGCTTGTTGTGGTCTAGCACCTTCAGACACTTTGAAGTCAGTGCTTCTTTGATACCTTTCGAGTTGTCATCCATAGTAGTTACTTCTTCTTTCAGTAGATCTTGCAAGGCTTGGAACCTGTTATTGAGTTATCTTAAATTCGTTGAGTTTGTCAGTATGCCGAAGGAAGGCTTTATTCAACCCTTGTAATGCTGTTTCTCCAGTTGTCAATTGCCTCATTAGCTTCAGTTTCATGTATCATTACAATAATAACTGATTCATTTTTAATACAAAAAACAACGTTTATGTTCTGCTATACCTGTTTTGTTATTCCTAATAATTATGTGGACCTCTAAAAAATATCTGCATGGATTAGTGAGTTTTAGAAGTATGAAGTGTTTACTTGTCCTGCATGACTGATTATCACAATCTACTTCAATGAGGTACTTAAGCATCTGTTAAATGCAGATAAAACTCTGGAAAAGTACGTTTCGTTCAGTGTTACAGTTAAAATAAGTTCACTTAAAATCAAAACTTATTCATTGATATTTACTACTACAGTTAATATTCGAAAACTGTTAAAGTTTTATATTCGGTTTCAATCAGCAAGGGTAATAAAGTCAATAAAAAGGTAAGTCTGAGACAGTTGAGATCTAATATAGATAGGTTACTACATATGTTTACCTATCTCAACATGTAATGCCATTTGAAGTTAAATTTTGAGACTGGAAATGTCCATATAAAGATAATAATACCACTTAAGTTAATAACTGTTCATATCGATTACGTGTAAAAGAAATGGTCTCCCGAACATGGTGAATAAACGATATATTTTCTAATAATCAGAAATAATTGATTTTCCGAGTCATATGCCTAAAATTCTTTCTATCGTACGTGAAAATATCTATATTGTTTAGTTACATGTTTCACAAATCCGTTTAGTTTGGAAATAGTCTTTGTAATCCACTAACACCGTCTAGAGAACTACTATTAATCTGAGAAAACTGAACAACTATTTCTTATGCGCAATCATAAGATAGTCGATGCTCTCTGTAGGATTTGAGTCCAGTCTACCTGGATTAATCAATCAAGATAAAATCTCAGTCCACAGAACTGCGTAACGTCTGTTTGAATCCCGCTGGGAGGATCGATTTCATCAAGATCCAAACTATGTCTTGCTGACGATTGCCAATTATCACGACCCTTAAGTCCAGACCCTACTATTGACTACCCTCAATACATACAGCAAACGATGTTCAGTCACTTAGATTAGTGGCCACATTGCAACTTGAGCAATAAGAGTCGATCGGTATTAAGGATTTAACAACGATGATCACTACTCAGAGACCAACCAATAAATTTTCAGAATAAACCACAATCAGTGGTTACTGAACACATCATTAAATCTAGCAGAATTCCATGAGATTAAGACAAGAGTCAGTGACCATTAGAAATCGGGATATAAAAAATTGTTTATCCGAAGGTGCAAAAGTTGATATTTCATTGAGAATATAACCTTTAAACTAATTATCCCATAGAAATGGATCCATATAGAACTGGATAATGTGTATGAACCGATGGTTGCCTCGCAAACAGCTGAAGCATTAACTATAAGAAGCTTGCACAGAAGATACAGTTCTTTTTCTGATTACAGTTCGGGGAGAGCATCTTATTGTAGGGCGAAATTCTATGTGGAGATGAATCCTTTGTGCTTACAAAGAAATAAACACTGAAATATGAAGGCTTTTATTATTTACATAATTATTACAACTAATGTTGTCGCATTTATGTCATAGCTTCTAGATAGAGTTAGAAAAGAAAATATTGGTCAAAAGCCATCTAAACAATCATTGCTGACGAAATAGAGATTATAAAGATATGTATGTTTTTAATAGTTCGTAATAACAACCTTGGTATTTAAAAAAATAATGAAGTTTAATGGGGTTCTGATAAGCATAATGAATGGTAACTTTGGGATCCATTTATGGACCAATACTGAACGTATATTTCTACCATATGATTGTTAAATAACTAAACTATTCATATTCCTCTTATTATAAGCTTTATTTTGACCTACGAACCATTATTATACGTTTTATCATTCTTGAATTATGCTCTATCTATTAATCACTGCCTCCCACATTCACAGCTACATTTGGCCAAATTTTGTACAAATGTTATTTTCTATTTTATGGTACGTTGTGGTCTGTTTGATTGGTATATAAACTGAGTATGTTTGAAATACATGATTCATATTGTAGAGGCTGAGATTGGTGTTCTGGACTTAACTGGCTGGGCTAGGCACGAAGCAGGACCAATCAGGACTCTAAACTGCTCTCACGGCTTTTATACGTCGTTGGTCTGGTCGATAATTCACTGCTCTCTAATTGGCAGTATCATTACGTTATACATTAACAGGGCACACAGGCCACAAGTTATAACAGTAAAAAATTAATTTATATTCTTTTTGACTGTAAATTTGTATTAAACAGTCACCAAATTCAAATATTATCTTCAGTCTCCAAAGTATAGGCATAAATTTTAATGTTATATAAACTAGTGCATATTAATGTAGTTTAGTCAGTGGTTAACCGTTTCCCAGCATTAAGTAAACTAACAATTACAAGTGTTCTTTTTTTATTTAGGGAAGTTAAAATACATTAACCCATTGATAAAGATAAAAAGAACCTTAAAACACATATACAAACATGTTATAAAAGAGGATTTTCTGGTGTTTCTGTACAGCATCGTCGTTCATTTGATAATATACGATAAGCTTCTCTAATATGCTTTGGTTTTAACGGTCCATTTTCACCTAATTGTTCTTTGTAATTTAATGCTACAAAAAAAAATTAAAAATCAATAATCTAATAAAAGCCCTACAAAACACAGTTTGAATAATCAGTATTCAGGTAGTCAAATTTTCTAATAAATTTGAAGGGAGATTAAATCAAAAGGTGAACAAATATCTAAGGTTTATACTGGTTAACTTTTCAGGAATAAGCATGAGGAATTTTCTTGTGTACAACTACTTTTGATGTAAAAATAATGTAACTAAATTCCATTTTACCTATAATAAATATTGTTAACATTACGACAAACTATTTATGTCGACAGTTATGTACACTAAAGTCACCCGAGATAATGTGACATTTTTGAACCGAGTAAATCATAAGAATGCCGTATAATTTTTAGACCGCTAATACTTAGGTCGATCTGTAATTGATAAGCATCTTGACGTATGCAATCTATCAGTTGATGAGAATCAGATGGTCAGAGATTAACCTAATAAAAAATTATTTAGAATACGGATGTACAAGAAGATGATAAACAGTTTGAGGATAAACAATCGCTATTCCTGTGATTAAAGTAGAGTGATTTAGCACTTTTGGGTTAATTCTAAAAGAGTAGTTTCTTTTTTAACTAGGCGCTACCAATATTGTCCAGAACAATAATAGAAGCGTTATATTTGAACAACTAATTTAGTTGAATGAAATATATTCGGATGGATTCATCTGAGTTATAAATTTTCGCTATCATTTCAAAAGTAAAAATAGTTTCCAGGTCATCAGTTTTGTGATTAGTACTTCAAATTGGTCGTGAACATATACTTCTAAATAGATGAAAAATAGGGTGTTTAGCAGACCTTATTTTTCAATTAACTGGTTTTTTGCTGATAGAAGCGCTTGTAAACAATTAACTCGGATGGGGGGTGGTTATGGGAGTCAGAACTTGTGATTCATTTTATTCAAGGTGCGTTTACTACATTAGTCTATGTTTAAACTCACACAAATGCAGCGCCTTTGACATTATTACTAGTTTATTTGAGATATACAGGATGAAAGATTTAAAAGAACATGTGTTGTTGTGACAGGGCTCAGATAATAAAACAATAAGTCATGTTGTTATATGTTATCCGTATATATTTTCCGATTACAGACACGTTTAAGATATGAACGTTGATACAGACTTTCTACTGCTTCCAAGTCTGACATAAATCTCCTATACTTGAGCGCCGAATAGAGGGCGAGACGTATGGAAAGAAGCCTTACTTTCAAAGTAAGCTTGAATTAAGAAAAAAAGAAGCTCATAAGTTAACGCATGACGATGATATTTCAGAAGCTTATGGAAACATGCAGAAATTCGTAACAAAATTGACAATTATCTAATCAAGATGTAATTTATAATTAATCATTTTCCTCGAACTCTCTGGGAAGTTTCTACTGGAAGCTAATTAGACGAAGTATTGTCAGCTTCTTTCCAGTTTTTGAAAGCTTTCCCGAAAACTTCTTGTGGGTTTCCGAATGTTTTAATTTTCAGTTCTCTTTGTCATCGATACAGTAATGATGTACGAGAGAAAATCGTCTCGAAAACATTCTTAAATTATTTAAAATTCTATTTCAAATAGATTTTCTAGATTGAGTCAATTTATAGTACTTTTGTATTGTAAAGAACTTTCATAAACTCCATATTAAAAATGAATGAAACGACCATTTTAATAGATATATGGACAGGGGAATCTGTAGAATTAGTTCATTTATAGTTGATTAATTTCAATATTTCTCTAATTTTCACGTTTTTATAGCTTGGAATAAAATGATGAGAACAGACTTTTTAAATCATTCTGATGAACGAACCGGTACAAATGGTTAAATACTGTAACAAGTTAGTATGTTTTATACAATGTGAGATATAGAATGAATTATTATTCTACAAGCAATGCATATTCACAATGACCCAATCATATGCGAAAAGCGACACTAACCATTCTTCACACATAAACTCAGGGAAAAATGATTAAATATTTTGTAAGAGGAGTTTCTACTATCTCCATAAAAGATAACTTTATCGTACGACGCGTTCGCATTCATAAGCTGTCACTGAACTTAGAAAGCAGAACATGACAAGACACTACTTGGTGAAATAATTAAACAGAAAAAGAATGAAGGTTATATTACAGAAAATGAATAACATATTCAAGATTGAATTATAGAACTAAAGAGTAAGAGTTCCTATTGGAGTTCTATGGAAAATAAAGTATTCTAAAGTCTTCCAAACCAAGGCGATTAAAGCCATTTACTATCATTTAAATAGTATCTATCACATATTTATAAGATAGACAAAATGAACCCTAAAGGTGATGTTCTTGAGAATTTTATAGCAATAAATAAATAACATTTGATTAGTGTTACATCCGAACTAAGAATAAATGAATGGTAACTGCTAGGAATTATTTATGAACTGTTATTACATATATTCTTATTGGGTAATTATTAAGTAACTAGATTATATATATTCGTATTTATTTCATTTGACCTATTGATTATTGTGATACGGTTTACCATTCTTAACTTAATCCCGATTTATTAGTTACAGTCATTTACACTCAGCCACTTTTTGGCTTGATCATGTATGGTTATTACTTTTTATTTTATGCTGTGATGCGGTCCGGTTTGCTTGTAGATAAACCATACATATCTGGAATACATGGTTCATACAGTGGAGGCTGAGATTGCTTTCTGGGCTCGATGGGCAGGGCCGGGAGAGAAAGACCAATCAGGATTCAGAGTTGACACAAGGCTGCTACTATTGTTTTGATGTATCATTGGTGTAACACAAGAACAAGGTTATAATAATTTAGTAGTTGAATTCATGAGTCAATGCATGCTAGACCACCATGGAAAACGTGGAAGCACTGGACAGCCGTTTCGTCCAGTACGGGACTTCTCAGCAGTGCACATCCATGATCCCGCACGCGGGACAAAACAGCCATCCAGTGCTTCCAGGTTTTCCAGGATGGTCTAGCTTAAATCGACTCATGAATTTAAATATTAAATTACTACAATTTCCACAAACCATCATTCTGATAAGGTCATATTAGTTTGTATTTTGATTGGCGATTTAATTACGTGATAACTAACAGGGCAAAAATCATTACAATTAGATAAGTTATTTATGTATGCACATTTTGATGAAAAGGAAGTTCTCCTTACCTTCTTCAACTAATTCTCCAATAAAAACTTTTGTTAAACCAGCCATAGCAATAACTACATTTTGTGAAATTGAACATGGAGCTACAGATTGTATTAGCTGTGGAAAAAAGCAAACAAATTATATTGTTAAACTTTTCTTCTTACAAAAGTTCATAAATTGTATTTGTTTACAGGATATTGAACCATGTGACATGAAAAATTAAGGCTAAATGTGAATTAGATTTAAATAAATAGTTGCGTATTTCTGAGAAACCGTAATCTAGGACAAAACAAATATTCAATTTCCCCTTATTTTTAGTGGTGCTCTAAATGAATTCAATCAGTAACAAACACTATTCTAAAATATAATTATATTCATCTAAGAAAAAAATGGGCATCTACGTTGAACAGTACATTAAGATTAGCTTCAATGTAAACTAACATAACTAATAACAGGCTATTTGAATTTAGATTACAGTCCTGAAGGCTAACGATTGAAAATCACTCTTTCGTACTTAAACGTATGTTTTTAAACCACAAATTTTTCGAATCAGGATAGCTAGTTAGACAAATGAAGTGATGAACACTTTAATTGAAGCAAAAACAATACCATGACAGTAATACCAACTAAGCGAAATGGAAAACACGGTCATTATTTATTTTTTTTTCTTGTCGAAATGAAATCCCATAGAAATGAGGATTATTTGATTAAGCGTTAAGAAAAAAATTATAGTACAGTGAAAAATAAATGATATGAAATTTAGTTTCGTCCCAAACTAACACCAAGATGCACTGAATAGTTGTTCCATCCTATTTGGGACTTTTCAGTAATGTCCACTCATAACTTCAAATGAGTTTGAATACGTAACTATCAATTCGTCCGGAGAGCATCATATCTCTAGATCAACGAAACTAGAATTCCATGATTCTGTTATAACCTGGATTTTCACGTGAACATAAATATACTTGTTCGATCTAGTAATTAAGATAGAGATATGAACGTCACAGACTATATTGACAGAAACTGCAAACTGGAAATATAAATGTGCATAAATTGTATAAGTGGTCAGTTTTACACAACACGTAAGTCTATCCGTGTAATGATAGAATTCGAGACCAATTAGGTGACAATAAGCTGATTTTGGTTGAATATTTTCATAACAAATAATCTTTAGTGCTTATTGATATGATCAGTCGGATAATCAGCGGTTTGGTCTGATATAATCTATCTGCAATTGGGATTTCGTTGTTTTAGTAGAACATTAAGTTTAAACATTTAATCATCATTGATATGTGGTTGGGAAAGTAAAATGTAATTGGTCGTTAAGCGTGAACAAACAGGCACTTAGCTTACTGACTATTGAATTCATGATTTTTTTTTCCTTTCATTGATATCTACTTCGGACTTACTGAAAGTGACCGCATGTAATTGTGTTGATTAATGTACTATCTAGTATTAATCTGGTTCTCTATTTTGGGTCGTGAATTCTCATCTTGTTAGCATATTAACGTATTATCGTAGTATACCTGAGAGAGAGGAAAACATCTTAAACCATCGGTTATATTAATCATAGTAATCGATTAAGTGCTACAAAATGATTAGTACTTCACCGTTGTTGATGTTTAGGAATAGATTTGACTAGTCTCTGTTAACATCACAACTTAATTAAGTTTCTGGTAATGAATAATAGTGAAATCCATGATATGTGCTCCGCTTCCATATATTTGAATTCCAGTCTCTGACTTCTCTACTTAGGTAAGAACCCATTCAGTAAATAATAAGTATCATATTTATTAAATAAGTTGATGGCTATTTTGAATACGTAGCTGACTAGATAATCATCTTACGTGTGAAACGATGAGTTCGAATCACAACGTAAAACTCAACATTAAGATGTATGTACCTCCAGTTTAAATTGAAATAAAGCGCGTATCACTGATCCATATACCAGCCATTACCCAAATCTGTTAAAAATAAATTCTTATTACTATCACAATTTAAAATAATTATGGATTTATACATTAGAATAATAACACTAACACTACTACTACTAGTAATAATAATAATAATAATAATAATAATAATAATAATAATAATAAATCTCTAGTTTATCACTTTTTATTTAAGAAAAAAAATCGGTGAAATTCACACTAGATTTATTCATCATGACAACTGAATTGATTTTTTTTTCGTTTTGTGATAAATCAAAACAACGTAACATTTTCAAAGTGTATAACTATTAGAATAACACGGATTTATTGTTTAAAAGATATATTGTTTTGTAATTCTGTAAGTCAATCTGAGTAAAATAGCAATCAATAGAAGTTAGTACTAAAGAAGAAAAAAAATTAAGAAACCTTAAAACATTGTTTTTTAGTTAGCGCTTATTTAGTTTAACTATAATAATTTTGTTATTATCCCTTTCATATAAATGTGAATATCTTTGACAAAAATTTGTGAATCCATTGAAGCTAGACCACCATGGAAAACCTGGAAGCCCATACTAGGACGAAACGGACGTCCAGTGCTTCCAGGTTTCCCATGGTGGTCTAGCTTCAATGGATTCATGATTTCAACCTGCGAATTTTATAAAATCTCCACACAATCCCTTCTGATAAGAAAAATTGTGTAGAAAAGAAAGTAGAGTTATTTTTTAAATTATTATTTATACATATAGTATCCCATTGAACAACAAGAGATACAGTTAATTGTTCACAGCTATTTGAAAAATAATTAAAACAGTTAAAAGGAATCAGCCAAAAGATCTCGATAATGAGATTCATGTTCACTAAAGTTCAATTGAAACTAATCTTAATAGCATTGGATATTGTAATATTGTATATTTATAAACGCTAAAATCTTATTCAAACAGTTACATAGTGAGACTATATTTGATGGACGAACCAATCAGATATAAAATAACAGGTCTTGGATTTTGGCGCGAAATTCACTCATCCATTTGGCTAAAAGGTTTTGGCATTATAACTGATGTCAGTTCGTGATGAAAACCCTAAATCTAATTCCTAACCTTAACCATCAACTGTATATCATAATTACAATTTCTCACACAGAATTATATTCACATTTGGTCCTAGTTATTCAGTGGACACTCTCAAAGTCGGTCTGGTGTCGCTCAAAGGTCGTCCGAAAATTAAGAGCCAACTGAATGGGAAGCAGGTGTTTTTAATGTTCTAATGATGAAATTTATTGAGCTATTAATAATTATTGACAGATTGTGTGATTAATTAATAATATTTAAAGTATTCAACAATTCCTTAGTTTCACCGTTCTGTCTAAACTATTTAACTGTAAAGTGAGGAACATTGAATTCTCATTCCGTGGTTCAATAGTAGATTAATCATCGTGAGACTCGAAAATCCTGCTTTTGGTGCTGTGTGGAATAATGGTTGAACATTAATGAGACGAAGTAGCTGTTAAATTCTGTCTTATTCTCAAAATTTTGTTTGATGATAATAGTTCATGATGAAAAATAACCTCAGGTTGTATAGAGTCAAAACAAAAGCACCTAAATATTTAATGACGTATTCACGGCTTGAAAAACTCAAATTTATCCATATAAAAATAAGAAAATCAACTCCGAATCGCTAACAGGTCACTTGGATTTAAACTAAATAAACAAACTTATCACTGTGGATAATTATGATAGAATAATGTCTACTTATGGTCCATTATGTAGAGTATTTGGATTAATTTTTAAAATATGGATGATATTTACTAAGGAAGTCCTTCACTGATCAAATTTATCGGTGAGCATTAAGAAAAAAACTTGCAATAACATTGTTGCTAAAAACATAATAACTCTATACGTATTTAAGTATTAGCCAAGAGGCTTTACTTAAGTTATCGAATTTATTCATTCCTTTCAAATCATATTCTCTGTTTCATCTTTTTCACTATCACTAAAAATTCTACTAATCCTACCACAGTACTAAAATTATTTTTGATAATTTTATCGCTCTTCGTAAAAGTCTGGTGTTGCAACTTAAACCGATGCACGAGTTAGGTTTCAAGTTGCTTACAACTGATCAACTTTCCCTTCCCAGGTTGTTTGGTGAATAAAGAGAGCAAGTCAATTTGCTGTTGAACATATTAACTATCCTGTCACATATTATTATCATCACAAATTTTTAAAACTGGTCAAAACATTTTTGAATTATCTATTTGAAATAACCTTCATCAATGACTTAAATAGATTAATCTGGGATCTAGTTAGTTCTCATATTTCATTTGATTATGGATAAAATCAAAAATTAATGAGTCATAAATTCAAATTAATGATTGATGCTAGTTCACAAAGAATAAATAAAACAAGAGGAAAATGAAATTATAAACTTACTCGTCTTACTACAGCTTTAGTAAATGTAGCTCTTCGAAATGTTTCGAATCGATTTAACTGTTCTTCATCAAAATGTGCCAATAAAGCTAGTAATTTACGATCTTCTATTTTTCTTGCTTCTTTTTCTTGTAGTAGTGCAGATGATAGAATTTCACTGACAACAGATTCAGTATCTGCATCACCAAGTACAGTAGCGCTGTCATCTTCATCGTCCTCTTCTTCCTCCTCCTCATCATCTTCTTCCACCTCTTCTTCATCTTCATCATCTTCAACTGTTTCTTCATCATCTAATAAATTAGTATTAGTTAAAATTTCAACTTCACATTGATTTGTTACAGTTTCTGATATACGAGTAGATGATGAAGGAACAGATGAATGATCAATGACTGAAATAATATTAGATAAATTAGATTCACCTTGTTTAGTTTGTGATGAATCTACATTGTGCTTAAAAAAGAAATTGGAACGAAACAAATTTGAACGGAATTATTACTAATGTTTTGTGTTAATTTAGTAAAATATCTATGAAATACAAGCAAACAATATTAAAATTTCAATAGTTGAAATCATGAGTCAATTGAAGCTAGACCACCATGGAAAACCTGGAAGCATTTGACAGCCGTTTCATCCTAGTATGGGACTCCTCAAGCAGTGCGTATCCACGATCCCGCTCCCCGCGAGATAAAAAAATAAGAAAAACGTTCCCTTATCAGTCTATTTTCTAATAGACAGTAATATTTATAGAGCATACAAAAATATTAGAAAAATCCAGGCAGCTTATAACAATAAAATAGATTACATAATTAAATATAATCAATAAAAAATACGAATTGATAGTGTGATGACAGGTGTACAAGTTGTGATAAGAATAATAAAAGGCTTAAATCAATGTTTCATCATAAAAAGTAGGACATTGAAATAACATTCATTTAAAGTTGTTAAAACTACGTAATCAGAAGAATCCAAATAGTTAGACAGTGAAGAATAAATTTAGAAAGGGGGTAAAGAAAAATGACCGAACAAAGAGTATGAATAATAATAAGTAAAATCGTTTGCTAAGCTTAGTTCCTTTAAGGAAAAGATAAGGGTGTTACAAATTTCTTATAAATACAAAGGCTTGGGTAGTTATCTGAAATCCCTATAGCTTCTGACTTATGGAAGAGATGGAATCAAACCCCATAAGCTAAAGTACTAGGTATATGATAAATTCCTCTTAGTTGATTTGGTTCTATCTACTACATGATCGTTATCGACCAAGTGTGATAGAACGGAGCTGCGTACTATTTTGGTTATTCTTTTGAGATTAATAGAAGCTATTGCATGTCTAAAAAGCAGAGAATAATTCTACGCAATGTTCATGATTGTTTGAATCCAAACTTTATTACTCTTATTTTTATTGTAACAGTAACATTATATGGTAAACCCCAGAAAAAAATTTACAAGTCAATTATCACATCATTCTTTAATTATCCAAAAAATGTAATTAGTTTTTTAAATACGATACTGATGGAGTACTATTAAGTTAATTGTTTACATGAAAAGTATTAAGATTTGAATGAGTAATAAATACCACCAGAGTTAAAACTACTGAACTGCCACACTCATTACCAGTCTTTGAACTGAACAGTAATAATAATCATAAAAGACAATGGACAACTGACAACGCTTATTTGTTACATTTAATGAGATAAAACGTTTATTATACGGAAGTGTTAAACAGAATGAACATTATTATAAATCGAAGAATATAGTCAGTCAGTTGGTTAATAATAGTAATAGTGATAATAATATTAATAATAATAATAATAGTAATAATAATGTGAAGTTTATCTGACATCTATTGAAATCAGTTTTTTGAATAATAGGCTGGATTGCCGTTTTGATTGAAATATGGAGATTTAATCTACGGTATACGCAGTTGTCGGATAGTGTGACTGAATAATCATCTCGAAAGTGGACTATTCATCACACCTACTGTGTGGAAGCTATTATTGGTAAACAGATGAGACAAGCTTATTAGTTAGAGAACGGTTCAAAAACAGTAACCAATTGGTTGATATTTGGGCGCTTACAACAATGAAAATGGAGTGATTTAGAACATCATCTCACTAAAGAGAAAACCACTGGAACATGTTGTAAATTATTTAGTCGAATATCAAAAACAAAATTTTCAAAACGAAACCTACCATATTAATCAATTTCGGCTTTTTAAACGGTTGTTCAACAATGGGTTGGTTATCATCATCTGAAACAGACTGAATTGCAGTTGTAGATAAGGGGACTTGATTCTGATCTGTTAAATCTGGATCTTGACTCCAATTTTGTGTACTGCTGTTATTTTCATCGTTGACTGCATAAAGACTTTTAGAAATAGGATCCATAATTCCCGAAGAGTTAGGGGATGATTTGATTACAATCGTGAATCTGTAAAAACAGTACCTTTTTAAAAATAATGAGGTATGCTTTGATAATGAATTTAGCTAGACAGAAACCATCCTAAAGCTTCTTGTTTATTGCTTCTAAATCCTTATACTTAAGATAAAAATACAATATAACAGCCAGTCACTTATCTTACTCATCTCATCTGACCTAATTAACAACACAAAAGTGATTATTACTCAGTGAAAGAGAAATGAAACGTATATTGTCCCAATATCGGTAGGTTTCCTAACTATTTGAATTTTCTCAAATTAGAATACATGCATCAACAGTCTATATTATTACAAATATGTGACCTTATCAGACTATTTAACATTTTCAAGTTGAACTGTCCAAATGTTAGAAATATTTATTAAGTAGCAAAATTGTGTTTTTACTTACCACTTTATCACTAATCATGTTATTAGAGTTAATGTACTCATCTCCTTAGATGGAGCAGCCGATAAATTTAATTGCCCCAACATTAATAATAAGAAATTTATACAGATATTATAAATCGAAAACAAATATGTTCATTAATAATAAATAATGAAAATCAAATCTAAACAACTTGTATATATACCGAAATCTGTTTAAATTATATCTAGTTCAATCTCTTACAGTAGTACTGTCTTGACATTGAAGCATAGATGATTCCAAATACTTTAAACATTATCACAACTTTGGACAAATAAATGGTGGGAGAAAAGTGCGTTTTTAAGTCCCGATCAAACTTAAATTATTGATTTTTGTTATATAGTCATTTCATTAAAATGTAAAACATCACGATACCCAGAAAGTTAAATTAATTACTTAATAAATATTGATATCTATTTCGTGATTCCGTCTTGGATATATCGAAAATAAAGCATTCCTTTAACTGAGGAATATGATTCACAAAAAGTAATGGTAATTATATTTATATATAAAAATTGAGAACAGAGAGTAGAACTGTGATCATACAACTAATTCAACTGGTACAAGTGGGTTATTTCCGTTTAATAACCACATGCTGAATAATCAGTCCTGAGATCAAGGCTCATAATCTTTTGGAGCATATATGGTAAAAGCCAAATAAATAGGAACATGTCGAAACTCATGTCTTAAATACAACCCCCCTGATATACAAGTGTTGTGTGCCCGTCAAGACTAGCTTCATTACAAAACAGGGTCGTCATAGCCATTCAAAGTTGATAAGTGGAAATAAATATCTCAACCAGACTATTAAAGGACGATACAGTGATGTGGAAAGGTAAATCATTTAAGTATAAAGGTGTTTGAATACTTATCAACTCTTTCTGGGGAGTATTACAGATCAAGCGCTTAACCAACAAACCGATAGATCGAACGCACGTGAGCTTTTAAGTTCAGTCCGTATAATTATTGGTTACATGATCAACCAATTCTACAAGTATACTATAAACGAAATCACATGTACAAACTCAAGATATCTTGTGACTTAAAAGCTCAACAAATTTTTAATTTTAATGCAAGACTATAATGTAATGATTTCGCCGGCAAAAAATAGCAGGAATCATAGTGTTTTATCAATGTGGAACAGACTACATAATGTCAGGTAGTTCATATTTAGAAAGTAGTGGCATAAACATATTCACAGCTCTTATGATTACATCTTAATCTTATTAGCAGAAAATTATTTAAAACAAGCCATATTGTGTTAATATTGTTGAGTCTCTGAGTATAAAATTACATTTTGCATGTTTGGAGGCAAAGCGTTGAACCTGTGAAAATGACTAAACAAATATGACAATGGTTGCTTGCCAGTGATTAAAACGTATAAAGGTATCTTGAAAACACACACTGAGACGGTAAACATAATCAGGATCTTTTTATAATAATGGGCGAATTTTAACTACTATATTCCGATATGGTTGACTGGTAGGAATTATATTGAGAAAAAAGATTTCAATCTCAATAGATAGATGTACACTGATTATATTGTAATTATGGCATCAACTGAATGTGAACACTTAATTCGAAATGGAGCTTTTGATCCCTAAGGTCTAATAAATAATTTACAAATCGGAATAACTCGTTATCGCTTCGTACCAAACCAGAAATTCGTATGTTATACCATTTAAGCAACTCAAATAATAGTAATTCTTTTACGTCTGTTCCACAAAATAAACAATAATACTTAAGATCAGTGCTCATAAGTGAAAATTCTTTACACCACATAGATTTTGAAGTAGACTAGACACGTCAGATTAAACTATATGGGAATCCGATGGACATCTTAAAATCTTTGTTAGAATGATCGATAGGATTGATTGTTGAACCTGTGGGTAGTATATTCTGCAATTGTATGCCCACAAAGAGTATTATTATTTCAAAATAAGTAAAGGCGATACGCATTCAATGTATCGTATATTTGTTTCTCCTCTAAAATCGTTGGAGATTAAATCCTTGAATGTAATTTACTAGAAAGAAATTCGGTATGATTATGTACTAATTTAAAGGTAACATTCATTCACATGACTTTCGTATTAGTTCAGTGCAACATTAATTATGTTAAAAAAAACTCAATGTAATTTCTGTTCGCTTGACTTTTAAACTAATCTCTCGTGATTTTCGTTCAGTTCTTTCAGTACATTGTTCATTCATATTAATCTTGTGTGAAGTTCGTTAAATGTGACAAATTACTATTAGTCACCACAATTAAATATGTATATAAATGAATATATCAAAATAATTAGTAATCTCCTAGGGTCTCCATCAATAAATCTTAAAGATAAACTTGGAAGTCCATTCCTGGTTGACGAGCAGGAAAGAAGACAAAACTCAATTTGAGTCATTGTGAATGAACTCATAGTTGAAAAATTATTAGCTTAGTGTATGGATGTATCGAAAAGTTAAATGTTATAAAGACTAAGTATCTATTGATCTGTGAAAGCATACAAATTGTAGGTTGGAAAGATAGTCCACCTCACTAATAATTAACTATAACATAAGATCTAGTATAAAACGAGTTGCTAGTCCAAATTACCAAAAATTCACATCGGTATGAGGAAAACTTTACTAGTGAAATGAGCAACGAATTTTCTTGTGTTATTTATTACAGATCATAGTGATAGTGTTTTGACTACTACATCTAAATGATGAAAATATTTAGGATAGAGGATGTGTATTAAGTGGCCACAGTTCAACCTTACGCTAAATGTTTAAAATGTATCGCAAAACGAAAAAAGATCGAGTACTGTTAGTTTTTTAACGTCTGCTATCCACATCGCGGGACTTTTTTCTCAGGGACCAGAGAAGGAAATTGGGCAAGTAGTAGCCCTATCAAATTAGAAGTGTGACAAGATAGATGTTACGTTATCATGTGAATATAATTGGATGCATTAGTATTTTTCAGACCTTACAACCCGTGGATGGTCAAGTGTGCTATTTCCAGAGCCGATCTTTCCTAACTCCCTTCTGTTGTGAGAAGGCAGAACAGCTGGAGAGACTGTCTATTTATAGAACAAACCGAACTACCATCACATGTCAAAACAATTGAGTATGACACGTTTGCTGCTTCTAGTCATAACGCTTTACAACAAGTATATCTGGTATGATAAAACGTACTCCCGCAGATATTTATAAACCAATTAGAATATCTAATCAGGTAGTAAGGTAAATATCACTTGGAAACCAATAAATTTATTTGGTACTTTGTATCCTATGTCAATTTTGATAGCGAACGAAACTATCTGTTTGAGCCGAAATAAAGAGTAGGCTCAGAATGAACTCAAACTATAAAGGAACTTTTAGCCTATCAACCAACGGCTAAAATATATCTAATCACAACATATATTTCTTAGAAAAAAACATCTAATAAAAGTCAACTTCGTGGCGCAAACATGCATATTTATTCTATGAGGAAAAAGAGTATTTTACGAAAAGCATATTTTGGATTTTATTAAAAAGAAAGAATTTGTACAAATAATAAACCGGAGTGTAAACGTTACGAAGATAAACAATTTCTGCTAAAAAAGTTAGTTGAGTGATTATCTACAACTATACTTTTAGAAGTGAACAATGTCGACTACTAATTCTTGTTATTAGAATTTTTTGCAAAATCGATAGTATTTTGAACGGCACTAATCAACTGTTCAATCATTTGACATTGTTGTCGTAAATGAGGTGCATACGCTGGCCACCGACATACAGGACATTCAAATGCACCAGTATCTAACCACTTTCGAATGCAATGTTCATGAAAACCATGTCCACATGGAAGTGCACTCAGGCGTACACCCAAACGGAATTTCTGCCAACATACAACACATTCTTTACACGGCACAACCCACGATGGCCAATCGTTCAAAGGATTCGCAAAATTTATATCATTGGACGACACATATGATGAAGAGGAAGAAGTGGACAATATAGAATTACTGGACAGTAAATTACTTCGTTTAGAAACTCTACGAGAATGAAGAAAACCGTTATTCAAGCATGTCTCATGATTAATAGCGTCCACATCTGAGGTAGAACTTGAACTTGGGGATACGTTTATTGGATTCGATAAGTAATTACTTCTTATATTTGGACGAAGATGAGTTCTATACCGTCGTCTTGTAAAAGATGAAACTTTTGGGTAAATACGATCATCACTAGTAGTATCTTCACATTCATCTTCAGCTTCATAATTAGTATCCACATTACTTATGAGCTGCTTAGTGATACTAAACGACTTTCTTGTCTGAGAATGACACTGACTAGAATTTACACTAGTATGAGGTCTAGCATTACTATTACCAAGTGAACTTAAACAGTTCCAAGTGTACATATGTGCTGCAGTTTTATGGTTTAACGATTCATTATTTTCTCTATTCCCTTGATGATATACATCTGCTGATGAAAACGAAGCAATTGGATTCATCGAAGTTGATGTTAAATGATCAGTTTGTTGACTAAGAATATGATAAAGTCTGCGTAATCTACGCAATAAACGATAGCCTTCTACGACTTCTGTATTTTCTTTATGATTACTTTGTGTTGTAATAAGACTTGCTGATAAACTTTCATTTGCACATTTCGATTGATTATTGAAAGTTTGATAGTGAGGATAACGATTATCAGATTCTAATGTACTTGAAGTTGCAGAATCTGCTGAACCAGATCTTAGCTCAATATCTGATTGAATGATTAGACGAGACAATTCATCCCATAACTGATCAGGTGGTATTTGATTTAACCGTTCTCGGACTAAAACAGGATCCAGTCGATTAGGACGAGAATGTGAATTGTTAGTAAATTGATCATTATGTCTCTCATATTTCGACATTACACAACTTGACAAAAATACAATAAACAACCAAAACGTTAGCATAAATGAAAATAAATGATACCAGGTTAAATGACCTGATAGGATAGTAAGACGTAAATTGATTATAGGTGAGGATAAGACAAATGACCTTAATAAACAGAGAGTTAAATTAATAATAGGTAGAGAATAAGATAAACTTAACAGATTTAATAATGGTAAAATAGCTAACAGAAGAAGAATATAAGCTGAAAACAAGTCTAGAAAAAACATTTTTATCCATTCTAAAATGTGAGATAATATAAACGATTGTATATTGATTGATGATGAACTGTTCAGTTGATCACCACGAATTAATCGATTTTCATCAGTTGAACGATAGTTATCAGGTGGTCTATTATTGTTATTAATAACTTCATAATGTTGATTAAGATTGAAATTAGGAATATGAGATGTCCATCCTTGACGTGCTAGTCTAATCACAGTTCTAGCTAAAGCTGACCGACGGGTACCAGTACTAGTATGATGCCTTCCCACGACACCATGATTTACATAAAATGAATGTATAAGAATCAATAAAATTCTACCAGCTTCTATAGCACCATTAATTAAGACTAAAATTGTAGTTAAAAGTACAACAATCCAAAGAAAATCATCCGCCGAAGGATATAAAGAATGTAACAATATTTCAAGATTTTCATAGCTTAAATATTCCCTTTCGTTTAAACCAAACGAGTAACATTTACCTTCAGGTGTTAATATGAGAAAATGAGAATTAATGGTACAATTTAAATTGATTAACAAGTCATATACTGTGTTGATAGATGAAGCTGTAATTGGCCAATTATTAACCTTATTATTAATTACTGTGTGATTCTGCTTCAATGTTTCATTCGATACAATCCAAAAGCGAACTCGACCAGTATATGTTACAGAAAGTGCACTTAAAACTAATGGTGGTTGTTGATGTGAGCGACTTAACTTCGACTTGACAGAGAACTCAGGAAACCAAATAACATGGATAGGTTGAGGCCGTTTCAATAACCAAAATGACAATAAATGTTTTAAATAATCCATTTTTATCAATCGATCAATCGATAATATTGAATTTACTGGATAAATGCTGTTTATGTTATTCAGTGGTTTTACACGTTCTGCTAACACTGATACAATCCACGTGTGAATACCTTCTAAGATGTAGTTACTTGATTCATGATCGATAATTGCTGTAGATTCTGGATCTTTAGGCAAAGGTCGAAATTGTACTACATCTTTCATACGTTCACCACCTTTGGGTAAGGCAAGAATAAGGTCAGGATTAATGAAGCCACGATCAATACAAAGGCTGAAATAAAAAGTAAATTTATCATAAAATGATGTGGTACAATATGAGAAGCAATTCATCGCTTCAAAAATCAACAAAAATCTGTTTATGTACGTCCCTTCGTTTTTAACATTTTATTAATTTATTAGCAATTTGTCTAGCAGAGAACTGAGTAGTTACAACAGAAACCAGAGGTTCTACAATACTTTCAAAAGGTGCTAACAACGAAAAATGCCTATAGGTTGAACAAGATGACATTTTAAGTGAATGAGTTTTCAAAACTGTTTTGAAGTTGACGCCTTTGACATACACCGAGTTATTAGGATTATAAAGGAACTAGTAAATATTCGAATGTATTTAATACTATGTAAAATTCTAGGTAGATCTTCGTGGGTAGTATTCTAAGTGATCCTATTTTGTTGAAACTTGAAGATAGACTTATTTTCGACTACTAACACAACAGTTTTGTCACAGAATCACAAAACTACCTACATGTTTCTGGGTTGATTTAGTAATCAGATTGTAGCTGAAGAGTTGATTTAGAAGATCACTAACGGTTAACTGATTTGTTTCGTAAAATATTTTGAACAGGGATGCAACCCTATGCAATTTTAGTGAATTAATTAAAGTCTGGAAAACTATCACTTAGTTCAGACAAAGCTTATGAGATTTATTAGCAATGTTTTACTCTTAGAAGCATACTATATCTTTTTGGTGATAAACTGTTATATCACTACAAAATCATTATGGCTGAGACGATTTCTCATGAACAGTTTTCAAAAGCACGTCCCCTAGTTAAAAACAAATGTTTCAATCTTGTGAGCTAAACCCCCTTATAAAGAAAAAGATGATAACACGAATTCATCCATAAATAATGTTCAAACATATGCTAGTGAATGGGAAATAATTTCATTTTCCACCTTTCCCTAAGTTACAAGGCTAATGTTTTTAATAATGAGTTGTTTTCTAAATCAAATGAACTGAAGTGGTCTACAAAATCCTATATGGATAACTGGATAATGCTTATACATTACACAAAAGTGCAAATACGAATCTTAAGTTGTGTTTTTCACAAAACAGAATGACAGGATATCCATCCATGAAATGATAAAAGGTATCTTATATTACTGAGATGATTGTTTCAAATAAAAAGTTCATACCTGTGTAGTTTTCCACAGTTCAGTAAACCCATCTTAAATCCAAAGGACTGATACCGATAACATAAAACAGACCAAATCTGCTCAGTAACAACTGATGAAGGTTTTATTCTGGATGGAGTTGTGCTCGTATAATCTCCCGCGATTGATGAAGAGAGAGACTGTGGAGAAGCTACGGCTAAAAGCCAAACACTATCCTTTTTATCTTCAACATGTTCAATAAATTCAGATTCACTGTCGAATACAATGCTATTTGGTTTGAAATTAGATGACGCGTAATCCAAATTCACAGACTGATGATCTGGATTAACTAGTTTTTTGTACAGAAGTGCATCTGGGGAGTTTGAGAAATTCGTGCTTGCAAACTTCAACTGCTCAGCTTTGGCATTTGAAAGTTCACTCGAAGTAACGAGACCTAAAATGAAACGATCAGTTCAAAGATTATCATGCGTGCAAACCCAAGTTACAAAGTATACAACAGAATAAAATAAATCCTCCAGACATTAAGTTGGCAAGTATTTAGCTACAACGTGGATTATGAAAAGCTGTTAAACGAGAGAAAATAATTAATTGTTTAGTGAACATCTCTAGAGCACTTAGTAAGGAGGAGCAAGAAGAAAAGAATAAAATATATTGATAGGACTCCATCAAAATCATCCACCTGAACTACAAATCTCCTCCACCATCCCAATAGTCAATCATTTTTAAACAACGTAGGATCTGGGACGCATGTGCATCGGTTCACATCACCACACAACATCAATAGTGAGATAAATTCATCAAGACAAATACCATAGTAGAAGCAGTAAAAACGTCGATGGTAGTAGATAAGGCAATATAACCTGAGAATACGCTTGCGGAATAAAAGGCACGAGATACTTTAGAGCTCAAAATTTAGGGTGAGACAAAGAGTAAATGTATCTGGGCCATCGAGCCGTTTCTAATCCATGTCGCTCAACCCCTTCAACCACTGAACATGGCCCTGCTTCGGTTTGGGCAACCGGGCAGTATCACAGCCCTCACACAAATCAATTGAGATTTGTGTGGCGCATATGTATTTGGTGCCTCCCTGTACCTATACTTATGTGTTAAAATAATAATAATAATAATACTGAACATGGCAATCGTGCGAACCCCAATCAGAGTTTGTACCTATCTATTATCGTGTGAAATATTATTAACGAAAGCACACGAGTTTAATACCATAATAAATGATAGTGATTTTCAAATTTTATTCTACTAAGCGATCAACGTTTATAGTACATCTGATGCACATTTATATATTTCTCGAATGACGCCAATATCCAGCAGTTAAAATGCTGGATGTGCTCTAGTTAGTTTAAAACAAGAAACAAATTATTTTAGATCTAGTAAGAACACCACTGGCGAAAGACAGAATATTTATCCATCACGTTAAAAGAGTCTGACTAAATATGTACTTATTAAGATTTTTGTAAATGAAAATAAATTAGAACAAATCAGTTGGGATAAAAATTTCAATAATGAAGGTATGGTGAATGAGAAATGGCACCGCCATTAACACTAGGATGAAATGGTAACAAAACTAGGCTCATCATGGAAAACAACTTGCCTTATATAGCACAAGATGATTTGGGTTTTCGCACGACTACAGATCCAGTTTTCACCAACGTGACGATTTTAAGCTCGACCATACAATCCAATTTAAGGATGTTTATCAACATGAATGACTAACCTCCACAAGTTCACTTATCGAAGTTTTGAGTTCCGAATGTTCGTGAAGTAGTTAAATAATTGGTTCGACCATCCTCAAATCCACATCCAAAACTTAAGCATCTTTCATCATAAATAACTTATCCGAATGTACTTTTTTAATATAACTAAAACTGTTTACTTACAATGACCAGTGTATAAAATAACGGGAAAATAACGCATAGTGATATTTCGTTTGTGTCAAGTTATGGAAAATTATGAGATGGATTATCGATTCTGAATCCTAAATGTACGGTAATGGCTAACAACAACTACAACTAACCTCCAGAAAATACAAAATTACTTGACTATATCGAAAGACTATCAAAGCAACAGCGATGATATCCAAATAGTTAATATTTTATCACAGCTAAGATGGTAATTCATACTTATTGCTTGTTTTTTGTGTCCTGAAGTCAATATTGAGTACTAATTTCATCCTTAACCCACAAGATCAAATGCAGCTGGTGGTAGCTGGAGTGACAATAATAACAAAGACTTAATTCCAAAGTGAAGATAAAAAAAAATCCACGACTTGTACGAATATTTACCTGCTAAAGTTCTCAGACACTATATAAACAGAGACTAACAAGAGTAGAGAAAAGCAACACCAACGACGGTAAAAAGCTTCATATACGAGAAAAGATACAAGAAAATTAAGGGATGGAAAACATAGAATAACGACCGTATGTTTTAAATGGTAAAGTAACGTCAACGTAAGACTATTTATTTGGAATAGGGAATTTGTTTAATGAAGTATTTACAGTGGAGTCATACATAAGTAAACATGTGTCCCGGAATATAATGCACCCAGCTTCAAAACAATGGTTTGAAGGTGAAGATCTGAGGCCACTTAATTCAGAGAGAGTAGTCAGCTTGCAATTCTTATCTCGGCGCGAAATATGTGATTCGAGACCAACTATTTGAACCAGTTCTTAATGTAATTACAATAAGCCAAAGAGGTCTATGGCGGGATGCCTCTTAAGGTCAGACGCCAAATATCTTCCAATGAACAAAAAATTACAAAACAAGATTATGTAGACAGTTTGTCTTATAAATGAAGAAATCGAAAATGAATTGCAACGGACTGATAGTTTATGGTCGTGCAAGACTACTATCAAATACGTGGGGTATAAAAAGATAAAATAAGTTAATTTTGTAAGTATGAAGTTTTATTCTGTCCCCTGGAAACCTCGTTTTTATTGTGTGGCGCATATATACTTGATGCACCCTTTTACCGGTGTTTGTGTTGAAATAAATAAATGCAGGCGGTTCTGATAATTTTCAAATGGAGTGGTAATAAATTAAGATGTGTTTGTAAATAAGGTTGAGGATACATCAAGAAAAATATTAAAAGTACCAAACCTAGAGTATGTCTTCGATTTATTGAAAAACTCATTCTCGGATTCTGTACTATAATCTACGTTGTTTAGTGAATTCTATATATGACGCTCTGAATATGACAACTATAATTACTGCCGTTAAAATATGCACACACAAAAAAAATCTCCAAGAATTTAATTACATACACAGATCAAGGGCTAATGCTTTGCATTGTGAGTGTACAAATGTCTTGTCACATCACCAAACTTAGATTTTCTTAAGTCGTATCTTCGATGTCTAAGCTTTTCTGTGAACACTAATACTGTTATTACCTTTATTATTCTGAAGTTTGTCGACATGATCTATCCGTGCTAATAAGGTATGAGAACTTTTAATGGTATGTGCATGTGCAGGGTTCTGCATTGTGTTTAACTGACTGACTTTCTAAATATGTATCCATGTGTATAATTATACCCTAAGCTACAAGACATCCACCTTCACTGTACATAGAACTTGAACCACACATGAATACAGATTTTCAGTAAATTTCAAACAGGTTTTGGAGATCTTAATGATCAAACAAAGAATTTAACTACCTAGGTATAAACCAAATTACCGGTCGAGTTAACTGCAAACTCAATATCACTGAAGTCAAGGGAAGAATAAAGCACTCCACGTTGATCCAAAACAGCTCTTAGTTGTGAAACAGTTTTTGGACGTCGTTTTTCATTTATATCTCTTCTAAAGTCATCATTTTTAGGAAGTTCAGTCTCAAAATCCGCAATTGCTTCGTCCAGAAGTTTGTACATGTAAGCGGCCGAACAGATTGAAAGTGTAAAACATGTTATTAGGCTAACATGTGAACGGAGACGCTTAAGTTCAGAGTGTTCAGGTAAAACTTTACTCAGTTGAGGACACATCTACGGAAAGAAGAAAAACTACGTCAAAGTTCGCGACGTCAAACACATAAACGACCTCGAATTTCATGCATTGAAACAACTAAAGGCTGATCGTTTTTAGAAAACGAATTGCATCAGAAAATAATTCATTTTCCTCTGTATCTTGACGTAAAATATAGTTTTGAGTCTTTAATTGTATTTAGTGACTTGAGTCTTGTCTAGTGTTCTCAATTACGTAATTGGAATCGACAGTTTGCTGGAAGTCTGTGCAGTTTGGCTGACTGTGTATGTTTCAAACCATTAAAAAACTTGAGTCAAGCTGCTTTCACTTCATAGCGAATTCAGTCTGTGGGATGACTTTATTCCAAAACATGATATACGCACCTAACCTCGCCAAATGGTATATGTGATTTCGGGTCGTTTATAGTAGTGTCAAGAATGGACTTCGACCGATAGAACTCAGCCATCGCATAGTGATAAGACAAAAAACAGTGATAAACGCTCGTTCATCAACCTGTTGTAAATATAGCAGTTCTATAAGCTGACTGTAAGCCCGAATAATTTAGCGAAATCGATGAAATTGAATGGCCAGCTTCCTTGTGATCATAGAAGCACCATCCTTATAAGTGTCAAGCAACATGAAACTCAGGTCAACATCTCTTTCACAATCACCCCACTTACTTACGTACGCCTGTTACTCCTCGTGGAAGAGCACAGGCTGTCAACCGGCACTCACCATCCAACCCTGTTTGGACAGTCCTTTCCATTTCCTTCCAGTAGTTATTCATTCTTTTCATATCTGCTTCTGTTTTCCGACGTAATGTGTTCTTTAGCATTGCTCTTTTTTGCTTCTTTTCAGGGTTTCCAAGTTAGGGCTTGCATGGTGATGCAATTTATTGATTTCTGTAATGTATGTCCTATCCACCTCATCGTCTTTTCTTAATTTTCTCTTCGGTTGAAAGCTATTTATAAATACTTTTACTTTCTTAATGATGGGTTAAATAGTTCGCCACGTTTTGGCTCTATACTGTAGAAATTCCTTGACGATGGTATTGAAGATTCGGAATTTGATATTGGTTGACAGTTGTTTTGAATTGCATATTTCCTTCAACTATGGGAATCCGCTTTTGCTTTACCAATCCTCACCTTTACATCTGCATCCAATTCTCCTTGTTCATCAATGATGCTTCCGAATTACGTGAAAGATCCAACATTTTCCAGAGTTTCGCGAATAACTCTAATTCGGTTGGTGTTCTCTGTGTTGTATTTGGGTATCTTGCATTTTCCTAAGTGTATATGGAGGCCTACTGATACAGAGGCTGCTGCTAAACTGACTTTCTTTATCTGCATTTGTTCGTTTGTATGCGATAGGAGGGCAAGATCATCTGCGAAGTCCAAATCGTCTAATTGGTTCTGAGCTGTCCACTGTATGCCGTGTTTTCCTTCAGAGGCCGAGGTCTTCATAATTCAGTCAAACACTAGAAGAAAGAGGAAGGGAGAAAGTAGACAGCCTTGTCTGACTCCGGTCCTTACTTGGAATGCGTCTGTCAGCTGTCCTCCATGCACTACTTTGTACTGTAGTCCGTCGTATGAGTTCCGGATAATGTTGACAATCTTCTCAAGAACTCCATGGTGTCGAAGAAGTTTCCATAATGATCTTCTGGTCACACTGTCAAATGCATTTTCATAATCAATGAAGTTGACGTACAGTGACGCGTTCCACCCAATTGATTGTTCGACGATGATACGTAGTGTCGCAATTTGGTCTGTGCACGACTGGTCCTTACGGAATCCAGCTTGTTGATCTCGAAGTTGGGCGTCTACTGTGTCTTTCATCCTGTTCAATAACACTCTGTTAAAGACTTTTCCTGGTACTGACAGAAGTGTAATGCCTCTGTAGTTTTCACACTTGGTCAGGTCTCCTCTCCTTGGAATCTTGATGAGGTGTCCTTCATTCCAATCCATCAGCACTTGTTCCTCCTCCCTAATCTTCTTGAATACAATATGAAGCATGCTTTTAGTTACTTCGATGTCTGACTTCAGTGCTTCAGCTGATATATTGCCAGGTCCTGTTGCTTTCCCACACTTGATTTGTCTGATGACCGGCCATTCTGATTTCTTCGATCGTTGGTGGATTGACATCCATAGGAAGGTTTGCGTGTGCTACTTCGATGTCCGGTGAATTCGATCAGGCTGATCCATTCATCTGTTCATCTGTTCTTGGATAACGCAGGAAAAAATTCCTCTAAAGAAATTTCAACAAGATTAAACAAACTAAACCAAAGCAAGCAACTAGCGAATTCTATTTATATTTTATAAGATTTCAGGGAAACTGATAGGACAAAGTAGACGAATTGGAAAGAAAAAATAAAAGTTGAAAAATTCAGCAATATGAAAGAGCAAAATCATTTCTAACAAAACAGCGACCAGCTCTATTCTTTGAACATGCACTTATGTGTCTTTTGTCAGAGCTTGGATCCATTCAAGATACTGATAAAGGTTATATGGTAGTGTCAGGATATGCATCGTCTTTATCGTCTATGTAAGCCATGACAGATGCTGCTTTTTCTGTATTCCTTTCAGATTAACTTACAGCTTGTTGAAGTGGTTAGTGATTTAAATGATCTAAATATGATTGTTTATCCAACGTTTATAAATTTGATGCTGTTTTATGTGGGTTAAGTTACTTTTAACATCTTCGTGCATCTGATTACTCAACACTACCATTATCAGCCGATTTTAGAATTGCAACAGTGATCTCGGTTCGGTTAATAATCTTCAATGTCCTACAAGCAATATTTAAGTGGTCGAAGTGAGTGATTTCATCAAGGCCTTCTGAGTTGTACTGATCTGAAAGCCATCGATTTCTTGACAGAAACCTAACAGCTTTCACTATTCAGCATGATGTTCGAAGAGGCTATACTCGTTTTGATATATCAGTCTCAAGTTAAATGTAGGGTTCTGCAAAACATCAGTGTCTAATCAACAATGGATACCTTCAGGAGGCCTGTTTATCGTCTTATTTAGACGTCAGTATACTCCCAAACTGTTTGGTTTTCTTTTTTGACAAAAGTACTTGGGTCATCTACCAGGTTTCTCTATAAAATGTTATCCTTATCATATCAAGGATTAAAAGTTAGTATTCGGCGGTAATTCACGTCAACATGAAGTTATCTCGCGGGTCTCTGAAGATTCAGATGGTACAGAAGCTATCAGTCTAATTCCACTTCTCTGATTCTATCTCAGAGTGACAGGTGGTTTCAATTTTGAAGTTACTTGGGGATTTATTATTTCAGAAAGTGGGGGTGCTTGTCCACTCTTTTATCATTTTATTCACCCTACTTCATTTTGAATATATGTATGAGGAAAGAGTTGAAACCAAGTTGTCCAGGTCTTTCGCAGCTCAATGCGAAACCAGTCAGTTACCAGTCACTAAATGTGCCCGACCGTAGCTTATACCTTGGCGTATTGGTCGGGCTTGCCTATCGTGATGACCCAACCGAGCAATATTGGCTGGAACGTATGTTCCTGTAGGTTCTACCATCCCAGGCAGGTCGATTGGAGAACAGTGAGACTACAAGCAGCAACTCAAGGCCTGAGGGCGAAGTCGTACTGCTGACTGTACAGAGGTGTGACAGCAGTATGGTGTTTTCCTCGGACAACCAGCATCTTCAGCGATGCTGCGTCCTCACAAACCTACACAATGATCGTGAACAGTGGTGGACAGCGAAAGTAAGAAAGATGGGAAAGGCAGCGGCAATAGGTAACAGCGGACAACTGTTCAGACTTGTTAAGGAAAGCGGTATTAGGAACCGTACTATTAGCAAAACAATCTTAGAGAAAGATGGACATATTATTCATTCTCAATCCAGAAGATTGGATCGATGGGCAGAACACTTTAGGGATCAGTTCAACTGGCCTTCAGCCACACTTCGATTTCCCATGATCTCCAATCTACCTGAATGGCAAGTTGATGAAAGTCCTCCGACTCTATAAGAAGTTGAAAAAGCTATATAAAATCTGAAGCGTGGAAGAGCAGCAGGCCCTGACAGGTTTACCCCTGAGATTTTTAAGGATGGCGGTTCAGTATTAGCAACGAGATTGACTGAGGTCTTAGGTAGATTCTGGGAACTGGACATAATCCAATCTGACTGGTCTCAATCACTGATTGTGCCAGTTTATAAGAAAGGACAAAAGTCTTCTTGTGACAATCATAGAGGAATTAGTTTGACTAATATAGTGTCTAAAATATTAGCTTCAATAATACTTCGACGTCTAACCAAAGCTCGTGAAGAGCAGACTAGAGAAAACCAGGCTGGTTTTCGACTAGGACGTGGTTGTATAGATCAGATATTCACACTATGTCAGCTCCTAGAACATAGACACATATTCAGACGCCCCACAATGGTAGTATTTCTCGACCTTAAGGCGGCATTTGACTCTGTTGATCGTGAGGTTCTATGGCAGTGTTTGTCACTGAAGGGAGTACCAAAGAAGTACATCAACCTTATAAAGGCTCTCTAATCGAACACAACTGGTCGAGTGAGAGCTTATAGCGAACTGTCATCAGAACTAATTACCTCAAGTGGTGTTCGTCAGGGTAGTCCACTCTCTCCATTCTCGTTTAACTTTGTCGTTGACGTCCTTTTAGAAATAAGACTTTCCTCATTTAATTTTCCAGGAGTTGAACTTCTACCGGGAGATCCACTTGTTGACTAAGAATATGCCGATGACATAGTTCTATTTGGTGAAGACGCTAACAAAATGCAGAGTCTGCTGACCACTCTAAGCAACAGTGCAAGCATGTTCGGCATGCGATTTTCTCCCTCGAAATGCAAAATGATGCTTCAGGATTGGGTTGCGTCGACACCTGAACTAGTGATAGGGAGTGAAGTAGTTGAGCGTGTCGACCGCTTCACTTATCTTGGAAGTCTCATCAGCCCTTGTGGTCTGGTGTGTGACGAAATCTCAGCACAGGTACAGAAGGCCCGACTAGCTTTTGCCAACTTGCTTCATTTATGGCGTAGGCGAGATATCCGTCTATCAACCAAAGGACGTGTTTACTGCACAGCAGTTCGTTCC